TAATATTAAAATTAAATATATCTATTAGGTTAGGGCTAGGTTGTTGAAGTAAAAAAATGTAGTCAGAATAACTTTTGGAATGATTTCTGCAATCAAATTACACACATAACATGTAATACATAATACAATATTACAAATTATAAGTATAATGATATTATAACCATTTTATAATATAGTTAAAGTATTATGACTTTTTAACTTTTTTGATCTTGGTGTTTACCTACACTTACCGTCACAATTTTTATACACTGTGGACTCGGGCTTGATTCAATTTGCACATAATGTTATGTTTATTACAGTGAATACTGGTACAGTCGCGATCGCAATCAGCCAGCAACATCCGATACAGTGTGCATATTGATATTATATCTAATCATTAAGTCTATTCTTTTTGAAAACAGCTGATTCCGATTTGTTAGTTATCATTATTATTATAGGTTTCCGTAGTTTTGCTACCGTGCGTTTCCGATATGCCTATTGCTTTTCATTGCTTATCCTACGCATACGATTATACGACCTTGTAATGTGGTGCTTACAAAATTACCCGTGACAAATGTAATAAAATAATGAAGAATTTGGAATATTTAAAAAAAATATATTATTTATAAAATAAGTATCTAAATACACACATAATAATGGTACACTACCGTTTTTTTTTTTTAATTATTATAATGGTTTTTTAAGTTCTTTTGTGATTAGGTATCATAGTTTCTTAAGTTCTATTGTGATTAGGTATCTATACTTTTCTAATGTATCCAGTTTATCGGTTAGCACAGGTAACCAGACGAAATAATAAGAATGATGTCAACAGGTCCGCTATACTTACAATCTATTATATTAATTCAAAATAGGTGCAAAAAAACACAATAATATTCACGTATTTTTTTCAAATGACGTTACTCAATCTCCCTGGCACTGAAATACTGTGTGATTTATCGATCTATATTATAATGTCAAATTAATTAGTAATAATAATTACCATTTCGATCATTTTTGTTTCGAATATTAAAAACAGGAATTAACCGTTTCCGCCCAAAATTTGAAATGACTGATTCCGCCATCACCCGTTTCCGCCAATTTAAAAAAGGTTCGATTCCCGTTCCCGCCAATCTACCTACTATGGAATATTTATTATAATATATTCAATATTTTTTGTAAAAAAGGAAAAATCTACATAATTCATAAATCCTAAGCGTTTTAGTTCATCGTGGATTGTAAAAAAATTTTAATTAATTTTAATTTACTGAAACTACGTATCTATACATATACATGATGTGATAGTACATAAGACAATGTTAAATACAAACAAGCGATATGTGATAGTTGTACACATTAATCTATGATAGTGTCAATTTTAAATGCACACATACATACAAATATACAATGTATATTAGGTATTTTATACATATTGTATAACATAATATATATGTATATATATATATAACTTAAATATGGAATCATCGTAAATAAATCGATAAGATTGAAATTACTGTACAGATGAGAAAATTTTTTTCTACATAAAATTACTGTACCTATTTATGAATAAGTGTCTTTAACTTTATTATTATAAGTTATAAATTTACTTTTTACTATTAAATGTTATCACATAAACCATGTACAATTAATACAGAATATTAACATATAATAAATTATACTAAAGCAGATATATTGACGGAAACAGGAATTGAACTTTTTAAATTGACGGAAACGGTACATGCCCTTAATAAACGCTACGTCATAGGTACATTTGTGCGAAAAGCTTAGGACATAATACAATAACCTAGGAACATAGGTATATGCATCTAAAATTTGATGTATGTAGTCTGTTGAATGTTGATAGTACAGATGCCCGCCAATGTCGGTTGTAGAATTGAACATAAAAAATGATTTACCTACCTATAGGTACCTTATTTAATACGCGCATCGAGATCCACCATACCGCGTGTTGGTTTGATTTGAAAAAATCGTGTCAGATTTAAAATTTATCGACTGGTTCTAAAATTATTTTCCAAGTATAATACTACAGTAATATATGGGTAAAATATAAATGAGTACACACAATAACATACGACGAGAAATTACGTATAGGATAGCCACCGATTCGTATAAAATAATATGATCATATTGATCARTTCATCAATACTTAAAGCACGCTCTCACGAATTCACGAGCCTCCTACTCTTCCACTGCTCCCACGCCACAAAATGGCGCCTCCGTCGTCAGGCCCATATTATTATTATAATACACCATCGACGTGTGAAGATATATACAGATTTTTTTAAAGGAATCCATCGTCTTCCCACATGCTCATGGGATTTGAAAACATTACATTTTGATGCTCGCAATCAGGACATTATAATATATATACACTTATTATTAATAATTACCGACGCCGATAATAATAGATAGGTTGCAGACGCATTCAATTGACTTCAAAATTCGATGAAACAATAACGAACAGCACAAAGATAGCCATTATTCAGATCGTTCTAAATAGATTCCTCGTCAGATTTTCTGCGATATTACCTTAAAAATCACATACCCTCAGTATGGACCTGATGATGGTATGTACCTATACTATACCTACTGCAAGTTCTTAGCCTGGATTATTCAAAGTAAAGACGTAAGATCTTTGTTTTTTTTCTATGAATTTTCTTTATATTTTGACTGTTGCGAATAGCCTTATATGTGCCCCACGTCTTTGAGAATCTGACTCAACATCCGGGTATCAAATAAAACAAGGTCACATAACGTTATTATCACTTAATTATACTTTTTATTTACCTTTGGGAGCTGTGATAAACAACATTTTTGAAAAATGCCAGCAATGCCATCTCATCAGTTGGTTGACCACACTCACATTTTGCCAATTTAACTTTTGACGTAAATAATAATTTTTATAACTAAAAGCCATTCAGAATTTAAAATTTTTAATAATAGAATAAATTATAAGTTATAACATTATCACGTGATACATTTTGCAAATCCGAGTGCATGTGTGCCGGCTGTGTTGTCAAAATGTCAATAATGTAAAACTGTGCAAGCATCTATAAACACAATATTTTACACTGTTTCGCGATCGTTTCTGATATATTATATGACAGGATTACGATTTTGTGAATATTGTATCAATAGTTTTCGACTTGCGCCACGATGTTTGACGTACCTACCTATTTTATGACATCTGATGTAGGCAGGTATCTATACCGATCCGGTGGTGATTCGTATGCGATTGTGTTGTAAGTGGGAATTATTCTCAACGACCGTTCAATTCTCCCATGTCCACACAATCCATACGAGGAAAATGCTGAATTGAACATGTACTGAATTTTACTATCCAGTGTTATAGGCGATGAGTGAATATATTAATAATTACTGTAAACCATATTATAGTATCCAAAAAATTCTCCCGAGAACAGTTAAAGTAATATAAAATAACGACGAGGATACGAAATATTATAGTTGTAGGTACTAGCTAGTTGGTGCTATAATATTTTATGGGTCTAGATGTTTTAATATAGCCATTATATTATATTGTAAAGAATAATTGATGAAATCTATTTTTAATTACCTAACTATGTTCACTATATTATCAATTATATAGGTACCTATCCTAGATAACTACAGGTACAAGTACCAATAGGCGTCTCAATGTCTCATAATCAATGGTTATTATTAAAAAATAATGTTGTTGAAAAAGCTGGCTTTTTTTTGTTGTACCTACACAGCGTACACCGATACACCGTATTATTATAACTACTATCATAACGGTTTTATATAGTTATGTTTTAGTAAATCTTATCAATTCCATGGTAATTACTATTTGCCTTTTTTTTTCTATTCAACCGTGAGGCCAGTTGGGGATTTCCTTCGCATGGCTTCCACCCTGCTCGTGGCCCCTGCTGCACATCATCAATTTAAATAATAATATAAAATTAATTTCGCGTTGGTCTCTCACATGATTGACTACGTTGTAGTATAAGAACATTTATTTCCAGAAACATCCGCCCTTGTGTTATATATTCACCTATGTATATGCGTTTAACCGTCAATCTTTATTATTAAAAAATAATGTGGTTGAATTTATTTGAAATTTGCTTGTTTTATCTACATAGCACATACCAATACACCGTATTATTATCTACTATCATAACGGTTCTATAGTTATGTTTTAGTAAATTATATTAATTTCATAGTAATTACTATATATAGTGTGTGTCTATATACTATAGGTACCTTCTACCTAGGTCGTATGTATTAAACAGTTAATCCCATTTACTCGAGATGGACTTAATGGTAATGGTAATGCTTAATATTAATGCGGACTATATGGATTATGATATACCTACGGTTTGTCGTATTTACCAAATTAAAAATTAGATTTAACAGATCTCTTGAAAATTGGATAGCTGTAGCTTAGCCTGACGAATAATTATACTTCTCTAATTATTATGGTTGTATCTTACATAATCTATAATATTTTTAACTAATTAAAATTTCAATCGATCCCTGAGGACTGGAAAACCAAATGATGAATGACCATGAACAACGATCGTAGCTGAAGTTTTCGATATTATATATTTATTATAATGATGAAAAATATATTTTCATAATCTGTTCGTAAATGAGTTATGAACAAGTGACCAAATAAGTTGTAAGGTAATTAAGTAAACGTGTACAAACTATAACTGCTTGTAAATTACTGTCCAATTTCATGTCAGCCAAAAGTCGGTGACATCACACCATTTTTAGGGACAAATAATATCCGTTACCTAACTTAACCGTAATTTTCAGTAATAATATTTGTATTCTCAATACATAGTCATAATAATATTGGTAATATTGCTTTGTATTTTGATTTGAATATTGTGTTTTAATCATAGATTTAACAATAGGCTATTTATTTAAAATTTATGCATATACTACACTTAGTATGAAATAATAAATATTATAATATCACACAATTACGTTGCTAATAAATTTGTTCAATTTGTTTCTAGGTTTGATATCGTTGATGCTAATTGGTTTTTCCGCACTCTTTTTGGGTACACTAATCGCCGTGTTCGATCCATTTCAATTAATACTCAAATGGGTAAGTTATACGGAAGTCATCCGGCGACAGCCATAATGTTATTATGGTATTATGTATATATCTTATATATTATAATATGTGTATATATATACTGTATAATGTATATAATATACAGTAGAGCAGAAACACCTGAGAAATAAAAATAAAAAATTGATATTAGTTAAACATATGACAAAAATGTGAAAATTGAATGCATACTAATTTCAGGAAATTCCCAAAAATAATACATAAGATTTTGTAAAATGTTATTTAGTTTCAAATTAATTTACTTCAAACAAAATTTATAGTTCAAAAAAATTTAAAAAATAAACATTTTATCATCAAAATGTATAGATATATTAAGAAATCAGCTATTTAGAATTTATATATTTATAAAAAAAATAGCACAATTTAAATTTTTAAATTTTCAAAATTCAGTATTAAAAAATAAAAATAAAATTGTATATCTGTACTTATTGCTGGTACTTTTTTTTTACATCTTATACTTATATTTAACAAGAAAAACGGTTAGCTAACAAGTTTTACGTATAGCTAAAAAACATTTTTATGTTTCTTTTTAAATAACTATTTAATTAACTGAATAGTAAATATTATTATACTTATAGAAAAATATACTTCATATATTCTAATATTAATTTAAGTTGTACTTTTTTCAACAGCTATTTACACTCGTTTACATAAAAGCCTCGAACTTTTCATCCCGAATTTCCAATCGATGAACAGAATCTATTGTAAATGATTTTTAACTTGCTTAAGTTATTATTGAAATTAACCTGAATAAAGAATACTTTTTTTTCTAGTAGTTTTTAAAAATTTTTGAGATTGTCGTCAAAACTTAATAGATGTAATAAAAAAATATGTTTGTCACTTTTAAGTTTACTATTTAATATTAATAACATGACAAATATTTTAATAATATAACACGATTCAGCTTAGATTGTTGGACAGGCCTAAATGCTTATAATTTTCAGCAGCCCAGAGTACCTATATCTATGTCTCCCCAACTCTCCTAGGCAGTCCGCTTCTGTAAGGGCTATGACGATTTATTGATTTGTGAATTTTAATAAATAATAATAATTTACCCATAAACATTTTATAGCCCGTACAAATTGTTTGAAACGTTTGAGTAAATACTATTACATACACCTATTTAATATTTGTGTAAGCCCATCCTTAGTAGGTATGTTCATTTTAATAACCCCAGAAACTATAGTTACCTACCGATTTGTTAAAAATTATCTTTCTGTCTATTTACTGTAAAAAATCTAAATAATTTACATCGTGCTGATTAAGTATACACGCAATTCAAACAATCCTATTTATTTAAATTCATTAGGTATTAAAGGAAAAATTAGGATGGATCGTGGTTGAATTTATCACACTGTGGTTTTATATAATACACATGACTTTGACGTTCATATAATTATAGTGTCTACCTATATTAAACTCTACGATTGACATCATTGTATTCATATCCGAACATTTCAGAGTTTCAGACGTTTTATTAGACATACCCCAACTGCAGCAAGCGCGTTCAGAATTCCAAACACAATCGCCAGATGGAGTCAAACGCGTTTTGGCGATCTGTAAAGGTCAAACTAATTCTCCAAGTCTACTACTTTGAATCATACATAGTTTAATGATCCCCGTAGATACACGTGAGGTGTACATAATTTATACCTAGGCGTATATCATAAGTAATATTTAGATACGCAAAGAATGCATTTCGTTCAGGAAATCTTAAATCCATTAATGCGGCTAGCCGCATAAATAATTAAAAAAAAATTAAAATTAAAATAATCACTCAGCACTGCCACAGTTGAAATAGTTAAATAACAAAAACATATAAACCTCCCACCTATTATACCGTGAGCCGTCGTTGAATCAAACTTGTTTTTTTTCTTAAAATATTTCTTGCGGCACATCCGGAGATAACCGCGATGACCGCAAGAGTGAATCGTAGGCAATACCAGTTCTCCAGACACGTCTTATTCACCGGGGTTATCCCGATGCGTTGTCCGACGAATCCCGTCATAATATATAAGTATATACATAGCAATTTATATAAAGTGGTACGAAGTACATAAAAATAAAATAATAATAACTTTTTTTTTTAAATCTAGCTGTTGTTGTAATTTTCCATATTATAAATTTATGTGAGTAGGAACCTACTTATTATTTGACGATTTGTTCAAATGATGATCGGAAATGATTCAGGTCATAATAATAATATAAATTCAGCAATATAAACGCATAATACCAAGTACCGACCTATAATTATAAAACATAATAACACTATTCAGTTACTGTATAGTTGTTTGCATTATACCTATACGTACGAGTAGTTAGTAACCAGTTTTCAGTAACACAATTTAATGACCATATGAGTCTATAATGTACCTTTACTGCAGGCTGTAAACCTCAAAACGTCATGTATTTTTACATAATTTACGTCGAGAAAGAATTAGATTGATCGTTTCAGCATCGCATCTAGATGTGCATAATATAATTGATATTTTTTTATATTAGTATAATAATAGTAATAATAATAATATTTTTTTTTGTTACCGAGTACCTACTTAAAATATTCATAATTGTCTAGTACAAATTTATAGCGTTCCTAACTAACATTATTGAAGCAAGAAATGTTGTTGTTAGTTTCTTTTTAGTTAGGTAAAACTAAAACGATATTTTCGACTCGTCATAGTATTATTAACTTATAACATTAAATTTCTTCCTGTAAAGTTCCTACTGCCTAATATGAATATTTTGATGGCACAAAAAAAATTATCGCATTTATAAACAATCAAACTTTGTTTTTTTTTTTTTAAATTTTTTCTATAGAATATTAGCTGGAGAGCCGTCGCTGGACGGTTAAAAAAAAAATTAACATGCATTTTAGATTCTGAGCGGAGCGATGAATGTATTGATTTTACCATGATGTGTGATTTTATTTTTTTATTTTTATTATTACACATTGTAACAATAGCAGTTAAAAAATATTAAAAATACATAGGCAAGATTTTTTTTTTATAAGCATTTAAAGTTAAAATTTTGACTAAATACGTAAAAATTACGGCGCAATGTAATTATTTTATGTTAGAAATTCATAAAAAATTTTCCTTTTATATCCAAGATTTGAAAATTTGATACAAATCTCCAAACATATTTTTACAATAGCAGTTGAAAAATAAAAGAAATACATAGACACAATTTTTTTTTTACAATCGTTCAAATTTTAATTTTGACAACATACGTAAAAATCACGAAAATTCGCAAATTATTTTAAGCTAGGAGTTCATAAAAAAAATTTATTTTAAATCTAAGATTTGAACATTTTTAATGATCTATAATATATCCTAGACAGATACCTAAACCGTCTTCGCTCAGAATCGTTTTTCGTATACAATGATATAATATATCAATATCATTGAATTCAAATTTAATTCCATCCATTACAGTAACCCACTTGTAACCTATACTGTACAGCAGAGTGACATCCACTTTCMCGCTTTTTTATTTCTTCTTCTTCTTTTCGTATCCGGTCGTTTTCGCAGTTATATTTTATACATCCAGTAAACTGCCAATTGTACGGCGTTATCATTAATATCATCCATATTATTATCTTCTTTGTTGCACGTCCCTTCAAAATTAACACATTCATATATGCATCTAATGTATGAAATGAATATATACATTTTTATTTTTTTATGATTAGCAATTAATGTACCATTATAATGTATATTGTAAGCTTCAATGTACGAAAAAACTGTAAAATATAATACGAAATAATGATTGGGTACGTAAAATTAAAGAAGTACCTATCAACATATTTTGAATAGTGTATCTATTTATCATCTCGTGAATTAAATGCTAAATATTATGAATCCTTTCTGAGTCTGAAATATAATATGGTGACAAAAAAGTTTCCGGAAATTCAGTGTATTATATAACATGTCATTCGTTTTTGTATATTTTGTTTTAGCCAAGAGGAGAAAGATAACACTTAACAAATGTACCTTATTTAATATTGCAACAATAAAATTTACATATTTTAATTTGATAAATAATAATTAATTATCGATTACAAAAAATTTGAATGTTTTATCGAAAATACAAAAAAATGTAAAATATACAGATGTAAGATATAATATATTTACCGACTTCTTCGTTTATTCGTTGATATAGGTATTGTTTCGTTACCTATATAATATTTTTCAACCTTCGGCGATGTTAACCCTGAAATCGAATATCATTTTCTTTCCGGTTATGAGGATTCCGCAACCTCCTGCAAGCAAATATAGTACTTACGTATTTACTTTTTTTCACTGCAGGGGTCAATAACAAAAAAAAAAAAATTACTTTATACAAATAATAAAATTCATTGACTTTGATACAATATGATAAATTGATAATCAACTGTCCATATTAAAATGATTATTGAATAATAAACTTGGGAAAATATTATGTTTTCATTTGAATAATTATCGTTTTCAGAAACTCGTAATGGTTAAAGGTGACGAGACGTTCGAGATGTGGAAAACACCAGAAGCAGCCGTTTATCTAAAGGTATACATATTCAACGTAACAAATCGTGAAGATTTCTTGTCTGGTCGAGACGAAAAACTGCGGTTTCAAGAAGTCGGACCATATGTTTATAGGTGTGTATTGAATGATGTTAAATTTATCTACAAAAAAAATAAAAACGTATGTATTCAGTATTGCCAGCGTTGCATATTTTAAAATATTACATTCTTACAATTGGAGCAATATTAAAGTTCCAGTACGGGTCGTATACAAAAACACAAAAAGAAATTAAAATAATACTTAACATGCTTGACTTACACCAACAAACGAATAACAATAATATATCAATATATCATATAATATTTGTATCAAATGCAATGTTAAATTAAGTTTGACATTATTTATATTACGAATAAAAGATTAATTTCCAATAATAATACATATAAATCATAAAATATTCTTATGATTTTTGAGTTCTGACACGACATTTCCGCATAGAATTATTTTTGGTATGCCATGATAGATTAATGAATTAAATAAGTTAACATTACGTCATAAATTACATGGTTGAAAAGGAATATACTCGAAACCTGCTACACAACAAAGTGACTTTTCTACTTTTGATTTATATCTATATTATAAATATTTATCAATTTTTTTTTAATTTAGTTCAAAATAATCATGATTTTGTACCTGTTTTATAATTCGATTTTCATGAATTTTAATATTTTATAATTATTCCCCTCAAATATATAAGAACTAAAATTGATGGTGAAGATAAAACTTAAAGAAAACTAATACTCTATTTTCTGTCACATAAAATAAGGAAAACCGATTCTAGTGTAGCCATTTACAGTGTCGTAGCAGATTCAACTTTGGTTTAATGTATAAACGCAATAATTATTAAACAACATTATACTATTCCTAGAATGTAAAATTGTAAAATAACATTGGACATATATTATCACTGTCCGTCCTACCATATTTTATTTATCAAGGAAAAAATACAAACATAAAATCCAACAGAAAAAAAAACCAAACTTTTTTTTTTAAATGTTCTGACAATGTCATATAACACTTAATGATAAAATAAAATAAACTTTTTTTACAGTATACAAATTATGATGCATATAGTTATTACAAATATTTACAAAAAAATTACTAGGACTTACATCTATCAAATAAATAAATAATGGTACAAAAGAGTAGAAAATAAAATTTAATAAACTAATTATTAATGGTGTAATGATACGGAATCGTGAGGATGACCACGCTTGAGGCACGTAGTACCCCGTAGCTTATCCCTGACATTGAAGTATTTTGCGCTTTTTCGCAAACAGTCAGTTTTCGACAAAATCGATTTTGGTTTTTGATGTAAATTTAAAACAAACGATCATAGATACGATGAAATTAAATTAAATTCGTACATGAAATTTTCACTGAATGTTTATATAAGTATATTATTCTATCCATCATGTGATTTTCAAATAATTTCGACTAAAGTTGAACTATTTATAGGCATATGTAATTTTCGATCATTATTAGTTTTTTTTAAATTAATATCGATAAAAATGTATTTTTGGGGTAGTAAAGCTTGAACATTTAATACAAGGCTTCCAACATATTGCTACAATAGCAGTTGAAAAAAATATTAAAAATACATAGGCACAGTTTTTTTTTTTTATAAGCATCTAAAGTTCTAACGTAAAAATTATGGCAATGTTCAAATTATCTTAGATAGAAATTCATAAAAATTTTTCTTTTGAAAAAATTAGATTTGAAAATTCAATTCAAGATTCCTTATAATTTTGTCTACTTTTATCAAAAAAGATATTAACGATATATATATTCCCGATTCGTAACGACCCCCAGCCGAGATCGAGAGGGAAGCCGGGACGCGACGCGAAGTCCGTCGTCCCGGGGTGGAAAAAAAATTCCACTGGAAAGTCAAATATTTTAATAGGTACCTAATAATAATCTATAATATATCCTAGACAGATAAACCGTTTCCACTCAGAATCGTTTTTCGTATACAATAATATAATAGCATTGGATTCAAATTTAATTCCATCCATTACAGTAACCCACTTGTAACCTACTGTACAGCAAAGCGATATCCAATTTACTGCTTTTTTTATATGATCTTCATATTCTCCAATTGCAACTATCTTGATATATTAACTTGTCAGACTTGCCTGATTATATTGTTAGGTTATTTAAGTTATTTTTATTTTTAAAAGCAATAATATATCTACGGTGAATTTTTGAAATTAAGATGTATGTAATAGAAAATTGTACTACTTTTTAGATACTGATCTTATAACTTATATTCAATAAAAAAATATAATATCATATATTTTTCTGTAACATCTTTAATATATGATTACAATATATAATAATTTTTACCATTATATTATAACACTTATAGCATTAATTAGAAAAAATAAAAATAATAATATTTTATTTGAATGTATATACATTTTTTATAATATTTGATAACACGCAAATTATATATTAGGTCCTGTAATTATCTATGATAAAGGAACTCGCGCGTATAATGTCTATGGTATATTAATCCCTCTATTATATTATCATTTTGGTTTTTTTTTTTTATAGTTCTTTTCTGTTGGTTTTTTATTTTGTTTTTTTTCTTAGGATTCTTTTATTTTGTTTTTTTTCTTAGGATTCTTTTCTGTTGGTTTTTTTCTTAGGATTCTTTATTTACTCCTATCTCATTGAAAATGTAATTACGTATTGATACATTAGATTATTCAAAGAATCTTTACCCATATAAGTAGAATTGATTCGGTCCAATATTTGATTTATTATGTTTTACAATTATTACTAATTAGTAAATGTACACTTTAAATTAATCATATATTTTATCTACGAATCAATAGCAAACTTGTAATATAATTAAAATTATTAATAATTTTAATTGAAAATTAATGGATTCCTACTAAATACCTATCTTGGCATAATGCATTAAATAAATCTGTTAAACTGCCAAAAGTGTTTTCATTTAAAATGTCGGGGTAAACTAGATGACAGTAGAAACAATAATAGTTTTTTTATTTCTATGACATACTCTTTACTAAATACCCGTATAATTTTATGCGATGTTTCTTATTTATAAACTGATTTGCTTTTKCAAATACATGTAATCTTTATTTACTTTATTTGCTTATAAAGTTATAACCATCAACATAATTTCAATAGAAAAATCGTTTGGATCAATATAAGCTAGTAACTGTACCTATTCGCAACATTTTCTGACTGGGAGAGAATAGGCGTTAAAATGACAATATATTATTCAATATATCTTTTTATGTGCATACTTTTCATCACTAACTTTATTTCCGATCGGAAAAATTGATTGTACAACAACACACGATCAAAATAAAACCACGCTCGACATTATGCGATATCTGTATTACCTATATCTATCTATTTATTGCTCAAAGCTAGATATTAGATAATATTGTTATTATTGTTACTTTTAAAGACTTTGTTTTTACAGTATAATTAATTTAAACAATTAGAAATATTAGATACAATATGTTATTAAAATATAATTACATTTTCTTCTCGCAGATTACAATATTTCATTGTTTAATGTTTGAGGAAAAATAAAAATTAAGTAACCTTACTAATTACCATGCCAATGGATACCTACATTACTATCGTGTAGTTATATCACGCCACAGTTAATGTTTATATATACAGAACTCAGATTAAGAAAAGATAATTATAATCATAAAATAACGAAGATAGAAAATGGAAACATGTAAAACAATACATAAAATATGTTTTTTACTCGTTTCATCATTAAATCCTGCCTAATTACTATAATATCAAAACTTGTCTTAATTATTCACTATATTTGTAAAAAATATATTATTTTAATCCCAAGACAGATTGCATTATGGGTATAATATTCGTCATGGTGCATGTTTAATAGCAATATATAAATATCTTAAGCTATTCCATATACGCTGCTGCTAAAATATTATTCATATGGGATTAACCTTCTCAACTATTTACGTATATACATTTATTTTACAAATGTACGCTGTGTAGTGTATATGGATAATATATAAAATAGACGATATTGATAAATACTGTGTAAAAATATTAATTAGTGAGTATTTACGCTCGATAAGTATGCAATGAAATAGGGCCATCGTCACACATTTTAAATTTTACAATTTTTGATTTCGATTAACGTTTTTAAACTATTTTTATCATATTGCGTATTCTATATTATCATATATATTATAGGTAATAGAAGGATTGATTCATCGCTGTAGTTTATTACAAAAAAAAAAAATACACGTTAACATTATAAGTATAACATTCATAATATTAAATAATAATATTATAATCGTTAGATATCTATATTCATTAATTAGGTGGCGAATTTAAGATATATGCAAGTATGCAATAGAGTATACCGATAATATTTATCAGTTGAAGTCGATTAATTGCATCCTGCAGATGGCCGATAGAGTCGATACTGTTAAAAAAACAAATGTAATGATGAATACCTAAAATACTACACAAAATTTATGCAGGTGATAAAATATTGAAAAATATAGGTGATAAATGTATTTGATGATTTTTTTTCTTCTTTCAGTTCTTAATTGAATAAGTTATTATTAAAATGTAAATGTGTAGGTATACAAGTGTAATGCTTTGATTACCTTAGTTGTCGAAGTAGAAATTTATAATTTTAAAATCAATATTATATTATTTAATTAAATATTATATTTGAACTGTGGTTTTGAGAAATGATTAAAAGAATATTTGTTTAACTGTTTGAAACAGATATTGAATATCAAGAAAAATGATTGAATATACGTTCAAAATCAATACACGTCATGTATCAATAAAATAAAGATACATAAATAATCTATGGAAAAACATTGAACGCGTGTAATTTAGATAATTCTTCGGAAACTTCTTTTAAGTTAAGCCGAGTATAAAAATTAATTCAGCATTTGGTACCGAAGTTAATTTTAAATTTTGTATGTCGTTTACAATCATGTTGCATCAGTATATTTTTATTTTATTATTATATCACACAAAAATAAAATATAATATGTTATATTAAATTTAACCAAGTATTTATGGA